TTCTTGGAATAATTTGAGTAGAATTAGTGACAGCTCTTCCCTGAATGTTTGGTAGAACTCTGGACCTGGACTTCTTTTGATTGGGCGTTTTTTGATGACCTGATCAATTTCTTCTTTTGTTGTGAGTTGGTTCCGGTTTTCTACTTCACTCTGTGTAAGTTCATGTGGGTCGTGTTTTTCTAAAAATGTATCCATCTCTTCTAAGTTTTCAAATTTCTTGGAGTACAACTTTTCATAGTATTCTGTTATTACCCTTTTGATTTCCTTTGGTTCTGTTGTGACTTTGCCCATGCCGTTTCTAATGCGTGTTATTTGTGTCTTTTCCCTCTTTTCTTTTGTTAGGTTTGCCAATGGTCTGTTAATTTTGTTAATCCTTTCAAACAACCAGCTTCTTGTCCTGTTGATTCTTTCTATAGTTTTTTTTCTGTTTTCTATCTCATTTATTTTTGCCCTAATCTTTATTATTTTTTTTCTCTTGATGGTTGTATATTCCCTTGGTTGGTCTCTTTCTAATAGTTGTAGATGCTGTGTTAATGTGTTAATTTTGGTTCTTTCATATTTTTTGATGTGTGCATTTATTGCAATAAATTGTCCTCTCAGCACCACTTTCGCCGTGCCCCAAAGATTTTGGTATGTCGTATTTTCATTCTGATTTGTTTCTAGGAACTTTGTGAGTTCACGTTTAATTTATTCTACTACGCAGTCACTTTTCAGCAGGGTGTTATTCAGTTTCCATGTATTTGACTTGATTTCCTTGGTCTTCCTATTGTTGATTTCTAATTTGATAGCATTGTGGTCTGAGAAGATGCTTTGTAGTATTTTATATTTGTAAATTTATGGAGGTTTGTTTTGTGGCCTTATAAATGGTCTGTTCTGGAGAATGTTCCATGTGCACTGGAAAAGAATGTGTTGTGCTGTTGTTGGGTTGAAAGCTCTGTACTCATCTATGAGTTCCAGTTGGCTGAGTCTATTGTTTAATTCTTCTGTGTCTTCGTCAAGTGTCTTTCTGGTTGTTCTATCCATTTTTGAAAGTGGTGTATTAAATCGCCCAAGATTATTGTCTATTTCTATTATTATCATCTCTTTCTTCAGATCTATTAAGAGTTTGCTTTATATATTTTGGAGCGCTTTCATTTGGATCATACGTTATTCTGGTTATGTCATCTTGGTCAATTGTCCCTTTAATCATGAGATAATGTCCATCCACTATGCTGGGTTTTGCCTTAAAGTTTATTTTATCAGAGATCAGCATTGCCCCTCCTGTTCGTTTTGATTGCAATTAGCTTGATATAATTTTTCCCATCCTTTGACTTTTAGTCTGTTTTTGTCTCAGTGTGTATAGTGTGTCTCTTGCATACAGCATGTTGTAGGATCTTGTTTTCTTATCCATTCTGCCACCCTCCATCTCTTAACTGGTGCATTTAATCCATTTATATTCAATGTAATTATCGATTTGTTGTTGTTGTTAAGTACCGTGGAGTCAGTTCCTGCTCATAGTGACCCTGCACAGGGTTTCCGAAGCATCAAATCTTTACAGGAGAAGAAAGCTTCATCTTCTTGCGTGGAACAGCTGGTAGTTTCATACTGCCGACCTTGAGGTTAGCAGCCGTATTCGCAACCATTATGCTACCAGAGCTCATTTATTTTTGTTGTTGTTGTCAAGTGCCATTGAGTCGATTGTGACCCATAGCGACCCTGTATAGGGTTTCCAAGGAGCAGCTGGTGAGCTTGAACTGCTGACCTTACAGTTCAAACGGCTTTGCAGTCTGGTGCATTAACCCATAGCACCACACCAGGAATCTGGTAGCCTAGTGGTTGAGCTCCTTTATTGGTATGGATTAATTGCTGCCATTATGTTGTTGTTTTCTTAGGAAGTTGCTGCTTTCATTGTTTTGTATGCCTTCCTTTGCTGAGTTTATGCTTTTTGTGTTCTTTCTTGTGAGTTTCCTCATCGTTTTAATGTTTCCATGTTCTTCTTGGATTTTCATTTTCTTGGTATGTTGTGAAATGTTAATTTTCTTTGAAGTTACCTTATAATCCATTAATTTTTCCCTCCATTTAGTGCAGTCTGTTTTCTCCTGTAACCTCACTGACCTCACCATCTGAATCTCCGTTTCTATGTGTTTACCTTCTTTCACATTGTAATTGTTTTGATCATAGACTGACCTCCCAGATTCTCTGAGTTTTTTCGTATAGTTTTGTTCTGTTCTCGACTCTTCCTTCTGTTGATTTAGTTCTGGAAGGTGCTGCCATGTATGTCAATCTCTTATTGTTATCTGTTCTTGTTGGTTCTCAGTCCACAGAACCTACTTTAGGGTGTTTTGGAGCACAGGGTTGGTTTGGGAAAATCCCTTAGGTTCTGTTTATCCTGGAATGTTTTGATTACACCGTCGTATTTCATTGTTAGCTTTGCTGTATAAAGGATTCTTGGTTGACACTTTTTTTTCTTTCAGGGTTTTATATATGTCTCCCCATTGCCTTCTTACTTGCTGAAGGTTTCTGCTGAGAGATCCGAGCTTAATCTGACTTGCTTGCCTTTGTATGTAACAGTTCTTTTTTCCCTAGCTGCTTTCAGGAATCTCTCCTTATCTTTCATTTTGGAGAGCTTGATTATGATATGTCTTGGTGATTTTTTGGGGTGGAGTCTATCGTTTCAGGGGCTTGTTGAGCTTCTTGAATGCTTATCTTTTCACTTTTCAGGATGTTAGAGAAATTTTCTTCCAGCAACTCTTCAGCTATTTCCTCTGTGGACTTGTGTGAATCTTCCTGTTCTGGAATGCTGATAATTCTTAAGTTATTCCTCTTCATGTTGTCCAACATGAATCTTAGACTTTCTTCAGATTTTTAATTCTTATTTCTGCGTGCTCTTCTATCTTAGTGGTATTGAGAGATTTGTCTTCCAGCTCACTAGTTCTGCTTTTCTTCTCTTCTGTTCTACTCCTTTGCCCTTTCAGTGTATTGTCTATTTTTGATACTCCATTATTGATCATTTGGACCTCTTTGTATAGGTTATGAATTGTTTCCAATGCTGTATCTATCTGTTTGATTGTTCCTGTAGTGCTTTCCTGACTTCTTCCTTATTTTTCTCAACTCCATTGTAAAGTGTTTTGAAACATTTTGTAATCATTTTTCTGAATTCCTTCTCAGGCATTTTTAAGGCCTTCCCTCCTTCCAGAATGTAGTCCATGTCTACCTCTAGGTCATTTGTCTCAGACATTTTATCTTGTTTCTGGACATGTGCTGATATGGTCATCTGCTTTTGCTTCTTAGACATGTTTAGTGTTTATCTATGGCCTTAATACTTAATTGAGCATGTGTTTCCGTATTTTTTTATGCTTTCTGTTTGCTTCCAGATAGATGTGATCAGGATGTGGGCTTCTTATTGTTTAACTCAGAGTAACTTTCACAGGTGTTGTCTGCCTCCTTGGTGTAGGGCAATTGGTATTGGTTCTTGCCTAGATTTTGGTGTTTTATAGAGTGTGATTGTAGTTTGACTATATAGCAGCGGTTGCTGTCTCTTCTTGGGTAATATAGGGAGAGAAAGAGTTCCCCAAAGGTAGAAGGGGGAGCATAAAACAGCAAAACAGCAACATTAAAAACAACAACAACAACAAAAAACAAATATCCCAGATTGGATACTGTAGTCTATAATTGCAGAAAAGGGAGAGGAGGGAAAGAAGAAGAAGAAAAAAAAATGTAGCCTAATATGAGGATGACTTTAATGCCCTCTTTCAGCTTCTTGCCTACATGGCTGCCTGATAAATTTCAAAATGTCACTGTTGGCTGTTATGGTGTATCTCAGGATTTAATTTAATTTTCGGCCTGTTTTGTTTTTAAGCTCTATTTTCCTCTCCACACCCCTTGTTCTTGGCCTTTTCCCTAGTAAAAAACAGTTCAAGGCTGGCTCTTAGGCTGAGAGTATCTGTGCACATGTGTGGCAGAAGAACACACCAATGGTGGGTTGGAGGGTGTCCACTCTCTCAGGCACCCCCTCTAGTCATCAGAATGGAGGTGCAAAAACAGTAGGGGGGGTGGCCAATGAACAGATAAAAAAAAAAAAAAATCAGAACAAAGCAAAACCGACAAAATGTATTGTCCACCTTTGCTCCAAGGTTCCCTTGGCATTATTCTGTGGTGGTTCTGCTCCGCCGCTGGTCTTTCCATTTGGTCTCGCCCAAGTTGTCAGTTCCAGGCTGTGGAGCCAGGCAGATTAAAAAATATGTGATTTCTTTCTTCCGCTACAATTTCCACTAGCTGTATGCCTTCAAACTTTTTAAATATTCCTACCTATGTGGTTCAGAGTTTGGGAACTCTGCCCTGAATCTGCTTTGCCTGGTATTTTGTGGTATTGCTGACTAGCGAACTTCACTGCACCTCTACCCTATCCACCATCAAGCCCCACCTCTCCTTTATAGTGTTTTTGAGGAGCAGCTAGTGAGTTTGAACCACCGACCTTGTGGTTCAAACCAACCTTGACATCAAGTGTTTATCCTACATCACCACATATTGCATAATAATATTATTTAGTGCATTTAGCTTTTTTCCTCTCAATAGCTCAAAATATATTAATGTTAATTGCTTGGTTTATCTTCAGGAAATGTGCCGCAAAAGCCAGGAATATCTTAGATTGCATTAACAAATTTATTGTGTTTAAAAGCAAGATAGGTTAGTCTTGCTCAACTTTGCATTTGTTAGACCATACATATAATATCCACTTAATGTAGGAAGGACAATGTATTTTATGAACCAAGATTGTACATACTCATATCGATGTTTTATGATAAATAAGTGGAGGAACTAGACATGTTTATCTAAGAAAAGAGAACATTCATGGGGAACCAGTTAATGCCTGCATGTATTAGTTGGCCTGTTACATAGAAGAGATTTGTATGTCATTTCAGAGGTATAAACATAAGACCAATAATTAGAATTTTTTAATTGAGTGCAAAGTTTTTGAAAAAAGGCTCCGTAGTCAAATAAATGTGACAAATGCTTGTACCATGTTCCTTTTTCTGGAGCTTTCCAAAGGTATATTACATGTGCATTTATATCACATATACCATAAGAGATCACTTTTAAATTTGTTAATCCCACTAATTAGGTTATCTGTTCAACATGTGATAACAAGTCCAGTAACATCAGAAATGCTAGGGATGAAATTTAGCCATCTTTGTGGTGGTAAGTCATCCAGGGGATTCTGAAGCTACATTTAGTTAACAATTATTAGTAGAATTTCTTTGGAATAATTTATGACCAAATTTAATTTAACAACTCATTTTTTTGTCACTTCTTTTTCATGTAGGTCAGGCTTCTTTGGGTCCATTAGAGATTTATTTATTTTCAGTAAGGGAAACAAGAGAATGATAGTATAGAGACAAGGTTTTTATTCGATTGCTACTGTCCAACAACCCCATGCATTTTGGGTATCCACTTATAGTATAATGAGTATAAGTAGTAATATCTTTGTTACTCTATTTAGACACCCATGGTTGGCAGGAATGTGTTGAAGTCTGAATAGAACATAGTTCGTTATGTCAGTGTCCACGTCAAGGCAACTGCTGCTGAAAGGACATAGTTATGGTGAAGAGAAGATAGCAGATGTGTGCCTTTGGATTTGAGTTTTCCTTCATTTCATTGCTGGTTAATGTAAAGAGGTTTAGGATGTTGATTATGTGTTCTAAAGAACATATAGCAGTTTTCAGCTTGAATATTAAAATCTCGCATTTTTGTTTTTAACCATATTTACTGTTTATTCATATTTCTCTTTTTAGTTTTCCTCACGGGAGAAAAAGCCAATGCAGTATTAAAACGCTACCGAAGAGCTAATGGATTTCTGGAAGAAATAAGACAAGGAAACATTGAACGTGAATGCAAAGAAGAAATCTGCACATTTGAAGAAGCAAGAGAGGCTTTTGAAAATAATGAAAAAACTGTAAGTATGTTGGCAAAAATGTTTGAAATTCTTATAGATTTGCTTAACTTTTAAATGTATATTTGAAATCTGCATGACTCTGCAAGTGGCTTCTAATTAACACTCTCTGGGCAAGAGTATTAGGTTCACTTCACTGTGTGATGCTCTGTTTTTAAAAGCCTTGCTTCCATAGAACTCTGCTGATCTGAAATTTAGCAATCTTCACATGGGGAAGCATTTATTTCACATAAGGTTTTGCTTTGGAAACTTTTACTATCTAATCAGAGAGAATGTGTGCAGGAAACTAATGGATGTTGGCACCATTTGAAACTTTTTACTTCTTTTACAGAAGAAAGGTATATCCAAACTTCCCTCCTCCACCCCTGTAAAAATGTTCATCTTGACTTCCCTTCTCCACCTCCATGAGAATACTCATCTTCACCTCCTTTTACTCTAGACTACATGCTTTTAAAAGGGAGCAGGGATGGGAAAGCACAAGGCAGTGGTATATATTCCATAGATTTGTTCTACAATTGGAAATTGCATTACCAGCAGTCACCATTATATGGGTGAATGAACTGGACTACAAGGTCAGTTTGAACTGCAAGGTCAGCGTCCAAGCTCACCAGCCACTTCCCAGAAACTCTATACAGGTCGTTATGCGTTAGAAACGACTCAGCAGCACTTAACAACAACAACCTGTACAACAGAAAGGAATGTTAGAGCATGAAAATGACACTAGATTCTAAACAAGTCATGTAAAATGTGCTAGAGGGCAACAAATACATATCCGGGATCAGAGGATGCAGAAGAGTTTTTTAAAGAAGTGTTTTGATCTCTTATCAGGTGAGAATGACCCAAGGGTAGCATGAAGGAGGTCAAGGAAAGCTGATCAGAAAGGTGTGGCCGCTAGATGCCAGTGTGCACAGCAAAAGCAGAATCAGTTTATAAGTAGTGTCAATGGTTAATGCACTTGGCTGTTATCTAAAAGCATGGACATCAAATCTACTTGGAGATGCCTTGGAAGAAAGGCCTGCTGATCTACCAGAAAATCAGCCATGGAGAACCGTGTAGGACACAGTTCTACTCTGACACACATAAGGTCTTCATAATTCAGCATTGACTCAACAGCAACTGGTGATTCATTGATGTTTGAATCATATTTAAATTGCACAATTGAACACGTTCTTGTTGTGTTGTTGTTGATGTTAAGTGCCATCAAGTCGATTCCAACCCATACTGACCTTGTGTAGGGTTTACTTCCGACCTTGTTGTTCAGACCCACTTTGCAGTCCAGCGCGTTAACCCACAGCCACACCAGGATCACAAAGCAATGTTAGCTTTTTCATTTCTTTCTAGCCTATTTTCTTATGCATCTGTTTGGTTCTTGTTGGTTTCATTTTATACATCTTACTAATACTTTTCTTCTTATAAAATTCATGCATACTCACTGCAGAGAAATTAAAAATGTAGTAAAGCATGAAGAAAATAAAACTACAAATTATTTTGCACCACCAGGTTTTAAATTGTCAGATAAATGATTCTGGCTGATTTTTAATATAGAGAATTTTTTTTTTTTATGAGAGAAGTAGGATTGGTAGTATAAATAACATTTTGTAAGGTAGTATAAAACTATTGTTTTAGATAACCTGCTGTTGTTGTGCTATTGAGTCGATTACCGCCTATAGTGACCCTGTATAGGGTTTCCTAGAAGGGACTGGTGAGCTTGAACCACTGACATTGCAGTTCAAATCGACTTTGCAGTCCAGTGTATTGTTTTGTGTCTCTTTTGTATAGCTATAATCATATTTTAAAAGAAATTAATCTTACTTATTTTGGCCTTCCTCTAATACTGTGTCAGATGATTTTGTGTAAGTATATTTACATTTGTGTGTGTCCACATGATTGGCTTTGTCTTAAAGTAGCCATATTGCTACATCAATCATGAGCTATTTATTATATGTATAGATAGAATAAAGTACCATTTGTAAATGTGATCTAAATGTTATTTGGAACCTTCACTACCAATGTCAAATATCATGCAATGTTTAGAGTACATTCTGACTTACATACTTAAAACATAATCAAAACCTGGTTCATGATATGTGTTTCTTCAATATAAATTTTCAGTAGAGCTAGTAACTTTTCATCATATTTTATCGTTCTTCTTTAAAGGAAAGGGATGTATTTCTTTGAAACTTATTGTACTAAAAGTATTTTATACCACTGAATGGCATTCCTTTTTTAATTAAAGTATTTTGAACAGTTCCAAATTTGCAGGAAAGTTGCAATAATGGTACCCTGTGCTCATTGCTACCAGGGTGTCATTGCTTCTTTCAGCAGCAGAGCAAGAAAAACAAATTAGCACACACACATGTGCATGCATATAAATGTATGTAAACTTAAATGTATATGTGAAGTCACAAATTCGTCATGATAGTCTCTAATTCCAATCCAGCCTCTCTGGGTTCTTCCTTGTTTTCCTCATTCTCTATTTGTATTTCATTTCTTTACAACAGAAATTCTGGCTCTTGACATTAATATAATAATTTATTTGCTCAGTCTTACAATATATACACAAAGGTTTCATTCATCCATCCATCTGTCCATCAGTCTGTCCTTCCATCTGTCCATCCTGGAAATCACTCTATATGTATTCAGAGACTATCCTATTTATATTTAAATTTCTTTGTAAGGATATGCCACCATTTAATCAACCAGTCTTTTGTATTTGAGTATTAACTAGTTTCAGGTAGTTTTGCAAGTATAGATAGTACTGCAGTAAATAACCTTGTCCACATATATTTATACTTAGAAGTGGGATTACTGGTCAATGCATATGCAGTTTTATTATTGTTTTTCTTGTTGAGTGCCATCAAATCGATTCCGATCCATAGCGACCCTGTACAGGGTTGCTGAGGAACAGCTGGTGGATTTAAACCTCTGACTTTGTGGTTCCCAGTCCAGTGCTGATGCTACAGTGCCACACTAGTAGTTTCCTTATCTATTGCTAAAGTACCCTCCCGAAGGTTGTACCACTTTGTATTCCCACCAGGAATACCAGATATGTGAAAGTGCCAATTTCCTCACTTTCACCAGCATAGTATATGATGAAATGTTTACTAATCTGCTGGGGGAGAATATCTAGTTTCAATATGCAAGTAAAATTGCACATTTTGCCATATATATACATACCTACTGTATGCGCATGTTGTGAACTGTATTTGTCTTTATCAGATTTATGGTTTTTTTCCACTATTTTCCAAAGATTCATTATGTGTTAGAGATATTACAGTAGCTTTTATCTGTGATATACTTTTCAATAATTTCTTCCTGTTGTCATTTGTATTTTCACTTTGCTTGTGGTAATTTTCCCCATGCAATTGTTTTTCATTTTCATTTTAGTCATATATTCAATAATAAGTCTTTCATTGAAACTGGATTTTGAATCACAATAGAAAACATTCCCCTACATACCAGCTATAGAGGAATTTACACAATTACTTTTAACATGTTTGAATTTTTACATTTAGATCTCTGATCCACTTGGAGTTTATTCTTAGGTATTGTGTGAGTTTAGGTAAAATGAAACAAGATTTAAAAAAAAAAAAAATCAGTTGCCCTCAAGTCAGTTCTGACTCATTATGACTCCTTGTATGTCAGAGTAGAACCATGCTTCATAAGGTTTTCAATGACTGATATTTCAGGAACAGATAAACAGAAATTTTCTTAGGTACCTCTGGGTAGACTTGAACACTTATCCTTTAGCTAATGTTAATCTTTTGCACTACCCAGGGACTCCATGGTGTGAGGTAAAGACCATATTATTTTATTTGGGTATGCAGTTATTCCAACACCATTTATTAAAAATGCTCCTCTTTGACTTAGTGATTTGAGTTACCCTTTATCATATACCTAATTTCCATGTTTCCTGAAGTCTTTTTCAGGGCTTCGTTTTCTCTTCCATTGCTCCAGCTCTCTGCTCAGAGGCTTTCTATCACACTGTATTCATTACAAAGGATTTATAATATATTTAATATAAACTAGGGCTAGTTCCCCCTAGCTCTGGTAGCGTAGTGGTTACGAATCGGGCTGCAAACCTTAAGGTCAGCGGTTCGAAACTACCAGCTGCTCCGCGGGAGAAAGATGAGGCTTTCTACTCCCGTAAAGATTTACACCCTCGGAAACCCTGTACAGGGTCGCTATGGGTCGGAACCGACTCGACGGCACTGAACAACAACAACAACAGGGCTAGTTCCCCCTAATAGTTATTCATTTTCAGTGTTTTCTGAGCTATTATTGAATACTTGTTTTCCCATTTAAACTTCAGTATTTATTAACTTGCTTAACTGGTGGAGTAGGGGGATTTGTCAGTGTTTTTATTGGGATTTCATTCCATTTTTAAATTAACTTAAAGGAGAATGAACATCTGTAAGAGATTGAATCATCTTCTCTACAAAGATGAGATTTCTTTTTATCTGTTGATGTTAGATATTCTTTTGAGAGTGTTTTACAGTTTCCATATATATGTTTCACAACTTATTTCTTATATTGGTTCCTAAGTATTTATTGTTTTTGTTGCTATTGTAAATGGAGCATTCTCTTCCATTCTATCTTCTAACTGGTTCCTATTGGTGAATGTAAAAGCTATTGATTTTTTTAAACAGCTTTATTGAGTCATAATTGACATGATTAATCATCCATTTTTTTAGATGTACAACTTGGTAATTATTAACATACACGAACACTGGTGAAACTACTATTACTATCAAGATAGTGAAATTATCCATCATCCCCAACTTATATGTGTAGTTTTTTTTTTCCATGTTATATTGTGAATTATATGATATTTTACATGGCAGAACTTTAGTTTTACATTCATTCCACCGTACATCGTTTCATTGTCATGGTTCCAATCCCCTCCATGCATCATCAA